CTGTGTTTGCGGAGTACCCTCGCAACTGGCAAGCCTGTAATGTGAGGGGAAGTATTCATAAGCTCTTCTGCCAGGTGCTGCTTTGTATCCTTTCCTGGTAAAGCTGGCATTTGGTAACTCCAGTGCTTACTCCCCAGAGGAGCAGTTTCTTGGCACTACTTTGTAATGATGATTAGTGAGCGACCAAAAAAATTGACTGTTGTTTCTCTTCTCCCCTTCACCACCACTTTGCATTGAAAGCTGGAATCTTTTTTTTGTGTGTGTGTTCTATTATTAGAAGCTGGGGCAATTTCTTGCTTACATGCTGTCCCTCTTGCGTGTGTAAGCATTTCCCATGTCTGAAATCCAGGCTGGGAGGAGACTATCTGTTCTGAATGTAATAGTTTTGTTTTCATTAACAAGCAGCAGGTCCTGTTAAAGTGCATGTTCTTCTAAGTGTCTTCAGCACCAAAAGCAGCCAGGTTGGTGCCAGTTGCAGTCTGTAATTTGTTAGTGTAAGTATTTAAACATGCAGTGCGGTGTCCTTTTGGCATCTCCTGGACTACAGAAGCAATGCAGAAGGAGGGTAGGCTAAAAGGGTTGACCTGATTTCTTCTCATAATGTTGACCTGTGTGTATATGCCTTTGTATTTAATGTAGCAGCATACTACTGGAATAACTTGTAGCACTGGATCTAATCATATGTATTGGAGCACACATATGTACTTTTCATCACAAAGTGATCTTTGTAGGAGCTTGCCTAAGCTTGTGTATAGTACTCAGCTGAAAATGTTAAATGTTTTTGCTGTTTCTGTGAGTTGCTATTTTGTCCTACTGTAACTGTTGAGGGACAGTTGTATAAAATTGTGTGTGATTAAATCCCATATTCTTGAATGTGCTGCAGTGGCTGTGCACATGAAAGTCATTTTAGTTAATGCACTGCTTAAAAACATTGTACCGTATTAAGAGGAGCACTGTGTCCTTTCTCTGAATGTATTTGTCTCAGAGTTACATTTGTATTACAGTTTATTTTTATTTCTTAAAAAGAAAATATCAATACCTTGCCTTTTTAAAGGTGGTGATTGGTCTGTTTGTTAATTAAATTTAACACAGAATTTTATATCTTGAAATGTAAGTTCATCTGAAGGCTCTTACGTAGCGAGTTGATCTCAATGAGTGTGATTTCCCTTTTTTTTTTTTTCACAGTAGAAAGTAGGTGACGTCCCTGGTTTTAGGAGGGCCTGTTGGATACAGCACTGCTTGGTGCCTGTGCTTTTTTCTAACAGTGATTCTAATGAAGAGATGTTGAATCTTCATGTATTTCTCTACGTTTTGTTGCGCTTAGATCTCTTTTTCTATTAAAAACTAATATTCTTTCCAGACTTCTTTTCCTGGCAGACTATCCCTCGCTCATGGTAGGACTGTAAATACTTTGAATCTGTGTGGCGGAGCAGAGCAGGCTGTTCTGGTACTTCTAAAAGATGCGTTTGGAGACTTGAGCTGTGTGAGAGGTGCAGAGAGGGGTTGGGGAGCACACCAAGTCACAGGGCTGTGCCTTGCTGACCTTCTGTGTGCTTCTGCAGCAGAGATGGAGGAACCGGGTCAGTTTAGCACCGAAACACTCAGGCTTATGTAATAATAGCTGCCTGCTCTTCATCCCAGTCGGGAGGAGGGCAGTAAGCCCCTCAGCACCAGGAATGGGCCCAAAACCAACACCTGTTACCCAGCTGCTGAGAGCTTTCCACTGCACGGTGCATCCTAGAAGTGGATATTTATTTTCTGTGAATTAATGCCAAAAATATTCCTGACAGTTGGTTATGTACATTCTTCAGATGTTTGCTTTAAATTTTTTGCTAATGTTAAATATTCCTAATGCTGTCAGTGAAATCTTAATTAAATGCTAGAGAAATCTAATTGGATTAGCATGGAGTGGATATAGTATGAATGAAAGAGATAAAGATGTAATTTGCACTTTTGGGGAACTTACTGTCTGTGAGCGCCTTTGGTGAGGAGGATTTAAAACTTCCCTGCTTAAGCTTTAACTTAAGCTTTGAGGGGGTGGATTCCATGTAGAGTCATGGTAGCAGTTTTGCTAAAGGCTTGTGGTTTTAAGAGCTCTAGGTTTTAATACACTGGGGATACCTTTCACAGAATGAAAATACTGATCAGTAAACTTAACTGGAGCTCTGTCCTGAAGACAAGTGTGCTATTAAGACAGAAAAAACATTTAGCATGCTGTCTTGGTGAGGTTCAGGTTCATACGTACCAAAGATCTTAGTGCTTGATTCATTTCAGTTCTGCACTGGAGCAGTAGTGCTCTGTTTCTTTGATAGCAATTTAACTTTGTACCCTTTTCCCTCCGTTTCAGCTGCCTTGCAATTAATGATGCTGGCAGTAACTTGCTGGTGTTAAAGCTTCATGCATATGTGTGGAAGGACAACCTCATAACAAAGTATAGTAACAGGACTGAATCTTCACCTTAGTTATTCACCAGTGATGGGAAATGCATGCAATGCCTTGTGTGGATCTGCACGGGTCAGTTAATGTGGAGCTCCTGGAAATAATAAGTTCATCTCTCTGAAGTGAAGTTCTGTTCTAAATGTTTCTTTAATGACAAGTGGAAGGCGTATTGATGACAATTTCTATCATGCACAATCTTTCAATTCGAGTGTTAATTAGTGTTTTCATTCACTTGGAGATGAAGGAGGAGATGTGAGGGGACAAAGTAGCCTTAGGAGTAATAAATAAGAAAATAAGTAAGTCAGATCAGAGCCATACTTCTCATGTCTCTATTGCAGTGGCTTTGGAGAAAAGTGGATGCTCTTTACGAAAACATGCCCCTTTCCTCCCCCAAGAACAAAACAGATCTGGGAGCTTTGCTCAGCCATGGGAGAGAGGAGCAAGAAATACAGTGTGAGTAGGAATTGATCTTAAAAATGATATAAATAGCACTGATTCGGGAAGGGGGAAAGTCAGCTACGTATATCCAAAGCTAGCAGGTGCTGCTCTTTCTCAGTCATCCTCACTGGTGAGGTACTTACAGCAGCTGAACAGACAAGACACTGACTGAGCTTACCTGACACAGGCAAGAAACAGGGAGTGCATATGTTCCTTTCATACCTCACTTCAGAACTTAATACTTCCTCTTGCTGTTTGTGGGGTTTGTTTTTGATTGGTTTTGTTTTTAAAAGCTGTTGGCAGTAAACATGGCAGTTCCTGCTGATCAGAGAAGTGGTGCACAACTGAGAGGTGGCTGCTGCATCTTATCTGCTTTTTCTGAGCAAACACAAAAATCTGCAGTTCTATTGAGCATGTGATTTGCCATCTCAGGGCCAAGGTGGTTTGGGGCATGGCTTAGTTTTTGGTTTTACTTTGTCCCAAGGCTTTAGAATTAAACCCAGTGTATTTTAGTATGCAAAATAGAAACAGATGCCTCCTGCTTCTTCCACAAATAACTTCTAAGCATTACCAGCCTGAAGCACGTTGAGTGGAGAATTCTGAGAGGAGCAGATTTATGGTGTTACACAGATTAACTTGCTTAAGAGTGGGTACGTGCTGAGTTTGGGTTCTGTATTTCAGGTCTTTAAGGTTCATATTCTGGCATCAGTTAATAGGTGCTGGCTTCAGTGGATTGAAAAAGAACAGGGTGCCTGGAAGGGAAAAAAGCATGGGAAGGAAGGGGACGCAGGGAGCAGCTGTCAGCACCACCGTGCTTCTGTGGCTCGAGTTCTTTAAGGAATTATAGCTCATGGAGGAAGAATCACGAGTTTCATGGCTCCTCCTTCGGTTCAGTGAGTTCATCTGAGCTCACGATGATTGTAGGTACACAATGTATGTGCATGCATCCTTTAGACTGTAAATGCCGAAGCTCACCCGGCAGCTGTCGCCGTGCGGGTAGGAGCAGCATGGGATGTGTGCAGGTGTTCGTGCCCCCTCGTGGCTAAAATCTGAATCTCAGTGCTGCTGGGGATTGTCACCAGAGCCACTTTTAAGGGAGTGACTGCAGGGCAGACAGCTGCAAGTGCCAGGAAGCTGCAAGCAGGTATTTTATGGGCACAGGAGTAAACCCCAAGTTTGAATTGGCTCTTGTGTTCTGTTTTGCAGTGATTTACAGTGCAAGAGAGGAGTCAGAAATATCCCCTCACAATAAATGCTCGTTTCAGACCTCGAGGACTGCTATTAATCCCTAATCCCTGTAAAGTTATTTATTTGGTACGACTGAGTGCTGAAATTTCAGATCTGGTTGCTTTGCAGTGTTAAGTCAGAAAGCTCATTAACTTTGTTCAGCTGTGTTAATAACTAATCTTTCTGAGAGCAACTTCATGGAGCAGGATTGATCTTCCAAACAACCTCCTTGATTGACATTAAATGTACACCTGTCCTTTAATTCTTTCCCAATTAATGGACAGCTGACAAAGGAATGTCTTTTCCTGGAGCGTGTGTCAGGTGACACAGCCTGGGGGGAGCCCAGATAGGAGAGTCCTTCATGACCTGACTTCTGAGCCTTCCCCAGAGTTGGAAGTGTTAGGAAGCTTAACAGGAACAGGTCTGACTTATCAGCCACCTCTCCTCAAGCTCCTGTTTGGAGCTTATCTGAAGCTACTGGTTGAAATATTCATGCAAGATTCTGTTTAAGGTGGCTCTTCAGCTGTTAAAGGAGCATAATGAATATTTCTATTTGCTCTTGTCCGGTTGAATGGTGGATTTATTCAGCAAGTACTTTCAACTCCTTGCTTTGTTAGTATTGGGTTTATTTATCACTGCTCCTTGAGGGGGAAGAAAAAAAAAGTTGGTGGTCTTTCTAAGATTTCTTGGTTGAAAGCAGCAGCAGCAATAAAAGAACATGCAATTTATTGTTAATTTTTTCCATTCAATGGTTTCCCTTTCATGTCTAAATCCTTTACAATTTCCCATGTTTCATATTTTTCAAGGTATATTGATTTTGTTATCTATATCTTTTTTCTCCCCTTTATAATCTCTGCCTTTTTAATTACTGCCTCTATTTCTTTGTTTTGTTGAATGGCTTTAGAGTCAGGGTTGGCTTTTCTGACTGCAGAATCCTAGTTGTGATTGCAACCTCTTGATGTTTAATGAATACTTAATTCTCAGCTTTTGTCACGATGTTTATCCATGCTTCTTCTCAATAATTTCATTCACAGTCTTGACCTCAGGAAAGGGATCTTTTTGAAGTAACAGAGTATTTTAAGTGAATTTGAAGAGAGGGAAACTGCAAGTAAGCCAAAAGTTTAAAGCCTATTATTATTTAACATTTTCTTGCTCTTCACACTTTTCACAGTGCATCTACAAACTCACCAGAGTGTGGTGGGGTGGACTTGAAAAATATTTTCCCAAGTCCCCTGATTTTAGTTTGTGCAGTAGTGGAGATTTCTCTGCTTGGTAACTTGGTTTCTTTCTTATCTAGTACTACTGATAGTGCTGCTTCAAACCATCAGACCATTCCTGCTCCGCTGCTGAGAAGTTTGGAAAAGGTTGAGGGGGAACTGGGTAAAATAAGATTACACTCACCAGCTGACAGCTTTTGATAAGACAGCCTGCATACTTCTTCCTCTTTGTTTTGTTTGCCCCCACAAAGTTTTCTGCTTTACTATGCACATAAACTGCATAATCTTATAGAACCAAGTAAGTGACTTATTTTTGCAGATTTAGATGAGAGGGGAGCTTGGTCATTTTATTGCCGTGAAAGTGGAAAAAGCATTTGAGTGTGCTGTGAAGAGGAGAGCTTTTGGACAACGGGCAGCAAGCAGCATACTGTGGAAGCCAGTGCTACGATGGGCTGTCCTGGCAAGGTACTGCCTGCTGGGCTGGGTCACAACAGGGACTCAAAACTGAGAAGTTCCCTGCGATTTCAGCAAGGAAACAGTGAAGCAAATTAAGATGGTTCCTGGTTGGAGCAAATACCCCTGGTCAAGCAACCTCCTGCACCTGTCTGAATCTCCCCCCGTGCTGCCCCTCTCTATATTTACCCAGTGGGAACTTTCCAAGAATGGAAGTGGGAAGATAAATGCTTGTGGGGGCTAAATTTAGCCCAGGCTCCCTGGCCCTGCTCCCTGTGGTGGCATTTCAGCTGTGAGCTTGACAGCCTGCGCCCTTCCAGTTGCGCAGAGTGGATGTCCATCCCTGACAGAGCAAGGGCTCTCTTTCTCTTCCCCTTTTTTAATTAAAACCAAGGAAGAATTCTCCATGGGAGAGCGTCTGCTTTGCCTGTCTTGGCTGTGAGCATCACTTGCCTCGCAGAGGTAAGGCAATAGCGTAACAGCGTGTGGGCAGCTTGGGGTAATTGGAGGCAATTTGTTAGCCAGGATTTTGAAAGCGTGAGTATGAACTCACACATGTTCTTTTTGTCTCTTTCAGCCCTAGCTGTAACCTCTTTTCTGGGTCCACAGGTGGTGAATGATTTCCTATAGCCCAAGAGATGACAGCTCTTTCTTTTTTTCTCCCTGGATCAGGATTAATAACCCTAATGCCTCAGGTCCTCAAACTACCCCTCCCCATATGCTATTAGCAGTGTTGGTTGGGTGACTTCAGAGCCCCAGTTCTTGGTATTAGTGTGTCTAATGAATAACAAAAATGTATACTTCCACTTATTTCAACAGAGATGGATTGGGTTAATTTAACAGGTGGAAGTGCAACAGAGCTTTGCCTTAATCAGCTGCCATCAAACTTGCTCTACTTAACCCAAAAATAGAGCTGCTGAGATGGCTTGGCACTGGGGAGCTCCCTGGGCTCACCTCTCCTCTCCATCAAAGGCTGATGTGGGACACATCTCCTGTGGCTTTTCCTTGCTACCAGCAGATGCACACTTGCAGAACAGGGCTAATTGCTCAGTGCAGCTCTCTCCTGTGTCAAGGTGGAGATGATGGAGCCTCTCCTGTAGGAAACCTGAGTTACTGCAGGGCTGCCATGCCACAAATTCTTCTGTCCTTGACAGGCAGTGTTTCTATTGCATCCTTTTGTGCTAGTGCCACCCTGCTGCAGGGCTGGGCCCTGCAAATCCCCAGGCTTTGGGCCTGGCTTGTGTGTAACACTGTCAGGTGCCCCTCTCTTTTCTCCTTGCATGGCCAATGGAAAATCCTCAGTCCTTCCTGCAGCCCTGCTCCTTGTGCTGAAGCAGGCAGGAGAGCGTGCACTGTGCTGAACTGGGATGTAAACAGTTTAAGGAAGTGCAGTGCTAAAAGTCTTTAACATGGCCATACTCACCTTAACTTCATCTTCTATTCTGGAGTCCTATTTTGAAATTTAATCCCTTTAGAACTCAACTGGGTGTAAAAATTGAGTGCTTTGTTTTGTTTTTGTGTGCTCTTGAGCAAAATCCAGTAATGCTGTCATCTCTTGGATCATTTGAGCATTCCATAGCTTTCATTATATTCAGAAATGCAGCTGCAGGTGAAGCTATTTGCACAGTGCTGCTCAATATGAAGCAGAATAAATTCTTTTTTTCCACATGGTCTTTTGTCAGGCACTTATGGGGCACAGCTGGATGGGGAGGTTTCTGAGGGTTCTGGGGAAATGGGCGGCTTTATTTACGAGCTGGGTGCAGAATGCTCACAAAAGTCTGTGGCCATACAGAAGCCTTCTTGAGATCTGGGTTTGAGTATCCCATGAGTGGTCCCATACCCTTTATCACCTCTGGGGACAGCAGTAAAGCTGTAAACTAAAGTACTAAGTGAAAAGATCTGAGTTCACCCATGCAGCCTTTGAACTTCAACACCAAATTATCTGTTTTGGCACATTGTTGATTGCAACATTTTAAGGGGAAGTGGCCCACTTGAGTGCTACAGAGATGTCTTCAGTCTTTACATTAATACTTCACCAGCATGGTTTTTTTCACCTATGGAGGCAGCAGGGTATGCATGTCAGAAATATAATAGGGTTGGTTTTTGTTTTTTTCCAGAATCTTCCTTAAATGTGTAACAAATAGTAATGAAAAGGTGAGGGTGGTGTCAGAGGGACCTGGTTCTCACCCTTGTTGTTGTCCCATAGACATCAGGTTTTACTGCTTACAATGAAAGTGGTGCTCAGAAGACAGGCAAAAAAAATGAGCTTAATGGACATCACTAAGATTTTCTCCATGCTCCAGCCCAGAGAAGATGAAGATGATGGTGAAAGTGAGGAGCTGAACCAAGTGGTATCTGAGGACGATTACCAAACTCTTGACAAGCTCTTGCACCAAGACCGGTACAAGAGAGTGATCAACAACAGGAGTGGCTGGGGTGTTCCCAGCACCCCGCTGCGCCTGGCCGCCTCCAAGGGCCACCTCAGGAGCCTGGAGGTCCTCCTGTCTCATGGGGCAGAGGTGGACAGTCTGGACGTGAAGGCACAAACCCCACTTTTCACAGCAGTCAGCAATGGCCACTTGGAGTGTGTGAAAGCGCTGCTGGAGGCAGGAGCCGGTCCCTCTGGCAGCATCTACAACAATTGCTCACCGCTGCTGACCGCAGCTAGGGATGGGAACGTTGAGATTCTGCAGCAGCTCCTGGAGCATGGTGCAGAGACCAATGTCCACGCCAGGGTGCCTGAGTGGGCTGCCAACTCCACTGCTTGTTCTGGTCCGCTTTACCTCGCGGCTGTCTATGGGCACCTGGAATGCTTTAGGTTGCTGCTGCTCTATGGTGCCGATCCCAACTACAACTGCACTGATGAGAGGATGATCGCGCGCATCAAGGAGCCCAAGACTCTGTTGGAGATCTGCCTGAGGCACAGCTGCCGGCGTGAGTTCATCAAGCTGCTTCTTGACTTTGGAGCCAATGTGTATTTGCCAAACATCAAGAAGATAGCACCTGGTAGTGAGGGCCTGGAGCTGCTGTTGCAGGCAAGAGGTAATCTGTGTGCGTGCCCCCAGGGCTTATATGGGGGCAAGTTGCTTCAGGTCACCTTCACTTTATTTCTACTTCCCATTAGAGAGGGGAGAGATTGGCTTAAGCAAGTTTTCTTGCAAGCTTTGACCCTCTTTGCAGCTTCACTTGAGAGAATGAGTCTCTCTGGTCTTAAACTATTGAATATTATCATTCTTTTACTCTGAACACTTATTCCTACCTCCCCCCAGTGATAGTGGTTTTCACAGTAAGAGCAATAAAAAGCTCCAGTACGATGCATGCAAAGGATGAGGGTGTAACAAATTAGCAGAGAATAGGTCCAGCACTGGTAATGAAACATGATAGCTTAGATACACATTGCCTCACAAAACTCCCAAAAGAAATGGTTGGAATTTAGGTGGGAGTATCACGGAAGGACTTGTTTGTAGTATCTGCCAGCTTCTACTGCTGGCTGTTGTTGGAGACAGGTTACCCTACTGGAGGTCTTTGGGTGACGGTGCAGCTGCTGGTTATGTGGTTGTCCTCCAAGTTGGACTCACCTCACTCAATGTCTGCTGCTTGTAGCAATTTCACAAAGCTACTTTAAATGAGTGTTCTCACTGCCACTGGTGCTAATCTAGAGCACACGGTCTTTCCACAGGCTGGTATGCCTGGTTAACCTAAATCTGTGGGGTTAAATACTGCTTTTCTCCATGTCTCTCTTTTTCTGCTGCTTACCATCATCTTTCCTGTGCTGGCTAAGTCCAGGGAAACTGCACTTATTTCAGCATAAATCAAAATTTCTTTCTTTATATCCAATTCCCATGAAAATACCCTGTGACCAACCCCAGCAAAAACACTTGGTTTAGGTGCATCAATTCACCCTTTGCTGACACCACACAAGCTCTCCAGCAGGGTTGTGTATCCTGAAGGTCTGCAGTGATGATCTTGTTCTTCCTTCCTTTTCTTTCCACAGCTCATCCCAAATCCCTGATGTCTCAGTCTAGGCTGGTGGTGAGACACATCCTGAAGCAGGCTGGCCGTGCACATGCCCTCAGAGACCTGGACATTCCACCAGTGCTGGTGAGCTACCTCCAACATCAGCCTTAGCAGAGACCATGGAAGACACTTGCCCCAGAAACATGCCCAGTGCCTGAATTAAAAGCTCCTCTGATGCTGCTGTTGCACAGCACAAAACAGATGTGAATTTGTGGTTAAAAAGTTTTGGGTTTTTTTTTTTTTTTTTTTTTTTTTTGCTTGCAAAGTGTCTCTGAAACCTGTATGGAAAGATAGTGAGAGAAGGAGGAGAGAAAACCAGGAGTCTCCAGCTCCTGCTGTGCACCGGGCATATCAGAGTGATGGCAGAGATGGATCTGAGCGAAGCTGCAGGTTGTTCCTCAGCTGTGTGTAAGATCTGTTTCCCAGAGAGGTACTTTTAAAGGTACTTCCTTGGTTGTGCAGCCTGGTGAGAGCAGCAGGAGACTGTTTCAGCCACATTCAAGTGCCCTAACACTACCTAGATGTGGCTGTCACTTCCCCTGCACCCCTGTGCCAAGCCCTGACACCGGGTAAACGCAAAGGCTGTTCCCAGTGGCCATGCCTGCAGATGACTCGGGCAGAAGTTGCACTTCATGTTCCCAGACAAAAATCCCTGAAGGCCGAAATCCCACTTCTCTGCTCAAGGAGTACCATTAAATGCCATTTTACTCTTACTGAAAGTGATTCACTTTACCGCTGAGGGCTGAAGCATCTCTCTTGCCTGAGTGCGTATGATAGTGCAGGATTTTAAAATTAAAAATGTATGCTAATATTTTTATTAAACTGTTGTGATCTGTTTGGTAAAATATTGTTAAACTGATCATGAAAGAGACTAGAAGCCCAGCCCATGTTATCTGGAAGTGACCATTATGCCTGGATGGCCTTCATCAGGGATACATTCTGCTAACTGCTAGTTCCTTCACTCCAGCACTGCTGTTGAAATGAAGGCAAAGGGAAGAGTGTGTGCTTCCAAACACCCTTGGCAGAGTGGCCCATTGGCTTTGGTTCAGACTTCTGGTCACTATTAAGCTCCTGCAAAATGTCAGTGTGACAACGGCTCTGCACAGGTTGCTGTCTGCAAAACACAGGTACGTCCTGCATTTCAAAGGTTGTGGAGTCTATTCACTAGGCTGTAGGAAGTCTTTCATGGGAAGATCCCTAAAGCTTGGCATTCTTCAAATGAGCTGAACAATGCTTTGGAAGTCACTCAGTAGTGTGGGGAGCAATTGCACGGAATGGAGCTGCCTGATCTGGTGGGTCTTGCTCTCCTCCAGTTAGCATAAAGCAGCCTCTTTCCAGGAGAGGATTTAACACCACAAGAAGTCATTCCTCTACCAGCCTGCTCACACGTGGGAGCGCCAGCAGCAACAAATCCCCATGGCAGATGCCCTCCACTTCCAAGGCTGTAGTGCTGTAGCTCTCTATTCTGCTGCATGTGCTGGGTTGGGCACTCAGCTGGTGCTGTGATCTTCATTATTTCAGTCTGAAATGCCCTAACGTCCCAGAAAGTGTAACAGCATGGGGATTTCACAGGGGTGATTCTTCTGTGTTGTAGGCTGCCCTGAGCAGTACCAGGCCATTCTCTGAGGTTAGCTTGCGCTGTGTGGGAATCCTCCAGCGGCTTGTCCACCACCAATTCATCTTCAGTGTTAAAGGTGGAAGAGTGAAGTTTGTTTCCTTTGCAAAGGCTGATAAGGCTGTGTGATCTTCAAGCTCTATCTATGCAGCAGCATGCATTGGTGCTGCAGCTGAGCACAAATAACTCTTGTGCTACTCTTGTTCTAGTCCTTAATTTAAAATCCTGGATGGAAATGAGGGCTTAGGTCCTGATGTTGGGTTCCCAAACTGTTCTGAAAATGGCCGGAGTCACCCAGGCGCACCTTTCTCCTCCACCAAACCACTTATTCACGTGCGGTGGGCTAAGAAAGTTCGGGTTTGGGGCTGTAGGAAGGGGAGCGCAGCTGAGCCTCTGCTACGGGGCTCCCATAGCGGCTGAGCTGTGTCTGAGGGGCGGGAAGACGGAGGACCCCGGCCTCACACCGCGACCCCCGGGCCAGGCGCAGTGTCATAACGGGAATGAAATTGACTATTTGCATGGCCGAAAAACGTCATGTTCTCAGTAATCACACCAAGCCAGTACCAGCCGGTGGCCTCGTGCCAGCTGCCCATCTTTATTAATTACCGGACATTTCGTGATCAGGAGCGGTGCCGCGAGCAGCACGCACGGCACCAGCCGCTCCGCCTTCCTCACTTTCTGACGCACCTCCTCTCGTTTCTGGCTCACGGCGGTTCAGCAGAGGGCGACGAGCGGGCAGTGAGGCTCGGCCCTCTGCGCGGAGCGGCCTTTCTCCCCGCCCCGCCGTGTCACAGCGCCCGGCCCCGCCGCCACGCCCGGCCCGGCCCCGCGGCTCTGGCTGGCGCCGCCCCGTCCCTCCCGGCGGCGGGCAGGGCCGTACGGCGCCGCGCCTCCGCCGAGCTCCGATCGCGGCCCAGCGCGCCGGTAAGTGCGGCGGGGCGGCCATTGTGGCGGCGCGGCCCCGGGGCTGACGGCGAGCGGAGCCGCTTCGCTCCTCCCCGTGCTCGGCGCTCTGCCCCGCCGCTCCGATCCGCGGCGCTTCCCGCAGCGCGGCGCCCGGGGCCTGGCTGCAGCCCGGCGTGGCGGCGGGGCACGGAGCTGCTCGGCACGGAGCTGCTCGGCCCGGGTGCGTGGGACGGCGTGTCCGTGGGAGGGGGGCTGAGGTGGGGCTGCGCCGGGCTCCGCTTCTGAGAGCGGGGCTGGACCGGACCGTGCTGCCGCTGGGCTCGGCGAGCCCCGCCGGGAGCTGCTGTGCTCCCGTCCTCGCCTTTCCTCTGGCGAGTTCCGCGGGCAGCTCGTGGGAACGCGACAGGCCCGGCTGCTCTGTGTCCTTCCATCTATTCGTCCTCCTGCAGAGCCCAGCCTGCTGAAGGGCTCCCAGAGGCGGAATGGCTGTGGGGTGCCCTGCTGAGAGCGGTGGACGATCCCGTGGGTTTTACGAGGTCCTCGGAAAGAGTTTGGATGAGGGCTTTGCAGCGGGGCGCGTTGTGTTGTCAGATGTGGACCTGCATTCTTGGCTGCCTTTCTCCCCATCCGGTGTGATCCAATGGACGCTGTGCCGGTGCCCTGTTTTGAAAAAAACAGGTATCTGCGAGCCACAGATAGAAAAGTGACTTGTCGTGTGGCTTTGTGTAAGGTGGAAATAACTGCATCTTAGGCTTCTGCTGGAGCTGCTGGGCAGCGCTGGTGTTCAGTCAACGACGAAGCCCCGAAGCCAGCGGCCTTCCCCCAGAAATAGGGTGGCTTTGACTTTTTGTTGGGAGCATCTCTTTTCCTTCTAGGTTTCTGTCGTTCACATCCAAAAGCTGAACATTGGACACCATGAGGTGACGGAGAGCAGCAGGGACAGAGTGTGTGCAGAGCGAGGCACCCAGACAGCCAGGCTGGAGCAGGAGAGGCGTAGGAATGCCTCCGTGGGAGGGCTCTGCCTTCTAATTCAATAGCAGCCTTAATGGAGGCATTGTGAGCTCCTCGGGCGGAGCTGTTAAACTTACACTCATCTTGTAAAAGCGTTCACTTGCATGTTTGTTTTTCATGTGGTTACTACTTGCAGTTGTGGCAGCTGTGATCTCTGTGGAGGCTGAAGGCGCAGTGCTCCTGGCTCATCCCGAGCTCTGTGCCTCTGCTGCTGTGGTAGTGTGGGTCAGCTTCGGTTGAGCTGAAGTCCTACAGTAAGGTGGGGTCATAGTGAACTGAGGGGGCTGCTGATTTGGGAGCATCTCTGGTGTGTTTTCAGGTGTTTGGGTGCTGCTCAGCTGTTGTCTTCTTGCTCCACTGCTGAGTGTAGTCTGTGGCAGCTGGGGGCTGGAGCACAGATGTGCTCAGCAATGTTTGCCTACATCTCTCTCTGTGCCTGTCAGTGTGCTCCAAACCTGTTGGCCTGGTGGCAGAACATAACGAAACGCAAAATGATTTTCTTTTACAAAAGGTGAGATGGAAACTCTGAGTGGGGGAAAGCTGAGGTTGGTGGTGAATGGCACGCTGCCCATCTCTCCCCTTAAAAACAAGGCCCTGCCACACATGCAAGTGCACTGTGTCCACCTACGCTGTAGCATTTTGCTCACCAGAGGACCCAGCCTGCCTTATTAAGTATGTAAATGCAGCACACTAATTACACCCTGCTGGGGTAAGAGTCGGCATGTCCTGCTGTGGATGTGGTCACACCAGGAGGAAAGGCCGGGGACAAGCAGCACCAGCTCCAGGCACACAGATACCTGCCCATGTGGTGCTGCACGTCGGTGTAATTATTGCAGTGACAAACAACTGGAGAAAATCACAGCTCTGAGTAAAGGAATTTTACAACTATAAAGCTTTTGCTAAATCGGGCCTCGGGATTGAAACTTTGAAGTGCTCTAGTTGTCTTTGTTTCTGAGACAGAATGACATTAATACGCGGCTTTCCGACAAAACGGTTTCTGTGGCATGCTGGTTTTACTGTAACAAAAATCATTAGCACAACAGTTTATTTGAGGATAGCGGCAGCACGTTTTAGCAGTTCCGTGCCTGTCGGTATTGACAGCTGCAATAACATCCCTCTGTAAACCGAGGAATTAATGGCATGAATATGCAGGAGTGTCCTGGAAAGGACTGCTGTTTGTTTGTAAGCAGTGCTTGGGGAAATGAGATGGAGCGAAGTTTCCATGTGGGGCTCACAGAAGGAGCTGGGCTGTGCTGTTCTGGTGGTGCAGGGCTGTGCTGTGTGTGCTTGGGGCTTCGGGGCACCATGTGCATTTCTTGCTGCCTCTGTTTGCAAAGGCTTTGATTTCTGTTGCTGCATGGGGAAAGACCGTGGGATGGCTCACGGAGCTCAGAGCGTGTTGTGTGGGGAGAGTTTGGAGGGTTTGCTTGGCCTAGGGAATGAGAACTGCTTGTAGGGGTGAGGATGCTGTGGGTTGAATGCTGCTGAAGTAAAAAACAGCATGTAACGTGTAAGATAAAGGATGTATAAAATGGCCACGGATAAAACTACATTGGAAAATGGAAGATGGTTTGCAATTCTCAGGGCCGTTGACTTCTGAGGCAGGCTCAGAGTGCTCTGGAGAGACGCTCCCAACTGCTTTGTGGAGGAGCGTGGGGTCAGTGGGGAGGGATTGCACAGCTGCAGCAGGAGGGAGACTCGGTCCCTGGGGACGTACCCATCCCGCTGCAGTGTCACAGCGAGTTCTCTGCGTCTCAGCTGAGACCCTTCCCAGGATGGTAGAAGGATGTCTTTTGTTTGTATGTGCGTTCAGAATGTGCTGAACTGCTGCTTGAACACATCGTGCTGCCTGAAGATGTCTGGAGCAGGCGTGCACCCTGCCATGCTGCTGTGCTGTGTCAGCCGCGGCTCACTCCGGTTCTCCCAGCCACTGCCCTGACTGGTGCCAGACGCCTCCTGCTGCACGGGGCTTCGTGTGCCTCACTGTGCCTTTGTCTCCATCACTCTGCACCATTGTATGGGCAGTGAGACAGATGGGGCTCATTCCCATTCAGAGCTGGGACCCAGCTTGTGTGGCCTGCTGTTAGTGAGGCGTGCAGCTCCTGCAGGGAGTCCTGGGGATGCAGCCCTTGTAGCACCGTGCCCGGCTTTGCTCTGCACGTCTTTGCATTTCCAGCATGGGGAAGACGTGCCATGTTCTCCATAGAGGAGGGAGAAAGAAGCCTGATGTCATGGTGTACAACACGTGGCCTGCTGGAGGAGGCTGCTGTCAGGATCGCACGCTGCCAGCGCTTCCCAGACTGCTGCTGGGGAAAGTGGTTTAAGGATGAGAGCAACCTGTGAGTTAGGGTGAGGGGATGCCTCGTCTGATGCCAGCCCTACAACCAGCATTTAGGCAGTTATCCTGGATTACAGAAATCCGTGCTCTTGCCGTGACTGCTTCTGCATCCTAATCCTGGCGACAAGACAGAAGCTCCCCTGTGAGTTGGGTAAGTCCCTTAATTTAATGCCCCGTCTCCCATTTGTAGCATCAGGATGACGTGCCTGGTTTCTTGCTGAGAATTAATTGATCGTAGCTTGTCTTTGCTGATGCCTGTGAGAATTAATTGATCACGCTCAAGCGTCTGCCTGCCATTCTGACGGCTGTACTGCCTGTGTGCTCCCAGCTGACCACATGAGAGCTGCAGGAGAGGGCACTGTTCTGTTGCGCTCGGGCTCAGTGGTTCTTGCTGTTCTGGAAGTTCTCTGTTGTGACGTGCAGGAATAGAAAGCAGCGGGTGGATGAATGCTACCTGGTGTCGTGGTGTTTCATTGCAGGCAGACGTTTGCATGGCAGTTGTCAGGATCTGAGGGAATTGTGCAGAGCCCAGCTGTGCAGCTCTTCTGCAGAGCAGGGAACGGGTGTGTTCTGTGCGGCTGTCCCCACCACGGATGAGGGTAGCAATGTGCTGTGATCTGCACTAGCGGTCATCAGGGGAATCTGGGGGGCTCTGGCCCTGCTGAAAGTCACGCAGCCAGGGTGGAGTTGGGTGAGTCCATTGATGGCAGTGGGTCACTCACACCAGCTAATCTCTGGTGCAGCACAAAGAAGGGATTTAACATTCTGCTTACCGTAGGCAGTGTCAGTCTGCATGAAGGAGAAAGGCTTGATGAGCTGCCTAAGGCCTGTGGTGGGTTTAAGGAATAAAACAGGGCCGTTTTCCTAAGTCTTTTAGGTGCAGGCTGTGAGACTCTCATCCTCTACCACATTTCTGTTTTTGTTGAATGCTGAGGTGGTTGTGCCTTTTCATGGATGCTCTTAAAAGTCTTGAGATCCCAGCTGAGGACAAAAGCAGGCCTTTGCTTTAGCTGATGCTGGGGTGGATGGAAGTTGTCCCTAGTATGGAATCATAGGAACACAGAATGTCCCAAGTAGGAAGAGACCAATGGATACTATTGAGTTCAACTCCTGGCTCCACACAGAACCACTCAAAATTCAGACTCTACTTCTGAGAGAATTGCCTTAACACTTCTAGAACACATCTTCAGTGCCATGGATGTGCTGGAGGAGGGGATGCGGTGCTCAGCACTCACTGCTGGAGAAGGACAGCTTGTTAGCAGAGGTGCTTTGTCACAGTTGAACACTAAGAGCCCCAAGCTCTGGCCCAGGTCAGCCTGTTGGCACCGGCTGCCTGCTCCCCTGGCAGTTTCAGACATGCCCTGCTTCTACCTATGGCTAGAGCAGGAAGCTGTGTCACCCCAACTACAGCCAGATCTACCTCATCCTGCTGGCTGCCTCAGGGAGCTGGGCACAGGTGAAGTGCTGTCTTTTACTGTTGTGATTTGTATATGTTTGTTTCTGACCCCATTTTTGCATTCCATCAATTGTGTGTTTGCCCTTGGTGACTTTATTGTTCTGGCATCCATAAATAGCTGTGTGGTCACAGCAGTGAGCATCTACTGATGCCAGTGCTGATGTGGAGCCAGAGCGAGCTTATTTTCAAACTGAAGTCTTGTTCCTGTTTCATTTTTCTACTACTTTAGCAATGCACGTATACAGATGTTTGCATACTATTTTCTATTGATCCTATCTAGTCAGGTCTCTCTAGAGAGGCTCTTTGGAGGCTCCAGAAGAATCCTGGAGTCACCCCAGACAGGCTTTGGATCTGCCCAGGAGTGCAGAAGTGCTGTTTGTCAGAGCTCGAGAAGCACTGGTTGGCCCATGGGATGCTCTGGAGAGGCCCTGGAAGCCTCAGAGAAAGGGCAAACTGTGCTGTCAGGGATGTATAAGGTGGTTAAATCCGCCTCTGTCAGCAATGGCTGTAAATACATCCCCTTGTCTCCAGCCTCTAGGTGAGTGTCGGAGCTGTTCCAGGGCTCAGGGTCGTGCAGCAAGGTCCCAGCTGAGCATCCTGCTGGCTGCTGTCAGGGAATTGTGTCAGGCACTCACCCACAGCACGGTTACATTCAGCAGGCCTGAATTCCACCTACGCCTTGCTCTCTGTTACCTCCAGCTGGCTCTGTGCCCGCAGGGCTCGAGCAGCCAAAAGAAACATCAGGCACGGGCACAGCCCCTGGGAGCAGTGAGCTGGGGATCCGGCTGTGCTGGGGCTCTGTGCCCCACTGCAGGCAGGAGGACAGGTCAGCCTGCAGCATTGGGAGCAGAGCTGCGTCCCGTCCCATCTGTTTTCCCAAGCCACTTATTTTAGTAAGGAGGGTGAACACCAAGGTTATCATTAATTATGGAGGCAAATAAATACTGCGCTACTCTTGTACGGGTTCTCAAGGCTTGAGAGCAAACCTCACATCGTGGGCTGGCTGTTGGGTTATAGGAGCTGAAAGCCATCATTTGGGTGTTTTTCACTGAGATCTCTGGGAAGCTGTCCTGGCCCTGGGCTGATCAGAGCTAAGCCTCAGGTATTGCAGCTCAGCGATGCATTACAATTCTCACCGGATTTATTTTCTCCGATCTTAATTCTGGAAAAGAAATATTACTGTTTTATTTCTGCTGCTATTAACATCAATCCAGGATGAAATTGAAAACCTACCTTTCTCTGCTTCTGAGATTATCTGATCAGGGTGGTTTATAATAAGTATTTCTAATGCAGTTTTATCTTGTTTGACAGATGATTTCAAAAACAATTGAAATTTAGTGAGGAAAACAAAATATGGTAAATGGCTGCTTTTGCTGGATGCGCAGTTGCCATAAGGGCTGCTCTCTGGCTTGACTGTCCAGATGCTTCCTGTTTGGTGCTACGTTTGGGATGGCTGGAAGCAGAGTTTGGCGTGTCTTGGTCTCTCTCCCTTTTGGAGATGCCCGTGTTTTCTGTGCTGACAGGCAGTTGCTAACAGAGCAGAACCTCAGTGTCTCTGACAAAGGTCGGAGGTTGAATGAGGTGGCTCAGGGCTCAGGTCTACCTGTCCCTGTGATGTGGTGCTATTGCCAAAGGCTATAGGTGGGTTCCGGAGAATTCAGAACAGTGACGTCTTTGTGCAGAATTCTAACAGGTAGGAGGTTTTTGCAGCTGTAGTTGCAGGTGGTGATGTAGCTCTTTGCCTTGCTACACCTATGTGTCACCCACTGCTGTCTCCTTATCTCTCTCTCCTTTCTTTTTGCTTTAGATCAGCCACGATGCTTTCGTCCCTGTGCCTGCAAGAAGATTCTACCACCATTGTTTCCAGCTAGAAACACGAGAACCGAGCAGCTGCCATGGAAACAGGCTGCACAGAGGAAGCTGCCAGGACCCGGTTGCAGTCTGCAGCATGCAGGCAGTGCAAGGGCGGTGAGCAGCAGCCGGAGGAGAATGTTGAGCAGCTGTCCCAGCAGAGCGATGCCTCAGCCGTGGCTGCAGAGCAGCAGCAGCTCCCGGCACCCTCTGGCAAGCTGAAAAAAACTGCTTTCAAGTTATTTGGAGGGAAGAGGAGTATATGTACACTGCCGAGTTTCTTCAGCAGCAGAAACAAAGGCCAGGGGAAAGGAGCTTCTAAAAAGGGGCTCAGTAAAAGTAAGACCCATGATGGGATCAGCGGCACTGCATATGATGAGGGCAGTGGGGCACAGTTGGAAAGCCCTTCAGATGGAAGCAGGGATTCCCATCCTTGCCTGCTGCCAAGCTCCCAAAGCATTCACGTGGCCATAGACAGCAGCATCAAGTTTGATTTTGGCAGGCAGGATGGCTCTCCACCAGGGAGTATTGAGGGCTATGAGAAGAAGCCCAACGGAGACAAGTCATCCTTCCCCAGACCAAAAAAAGGCCTGAAGGGACTTCTGAACAGCATCCGGCGTCACCGTAAGAGCAAGATTGCTGAGTGTGAGAAAACAGAGCTCTCTGAGTGGCCTGGGGATTCGGAGGAGACCAGCAAAGCTCAGGGCATGAAAGCGGAAACTCCTGGAGCTGTGGAGGAAGGAGGACCCGGGTCTGTCCCTCTTGCTGCAGCCTGCCCAGGAAGCTCAGCAGGTCACTGCTTGGTGCGCACAGCAGCTGACTCTGGGGAGGCTGCTGAGCCAGACTGGCTCCAGGCTGATAAGGGCGGCTGTGAGGGCGATGTGGTGGTAGTGCCTGGGGGCAAGGATGATCTGGATGCAAAATCAGAGGCAGATGCTGTTGTCTACACAGAGTCCAACTACAGCCATCTCCCTGTGGCCCTTCATCCAGACAACGACCCTCCCTCATTACATTCTGGGGACCAGCTGAGTCTCCTCTTTGGAGACGTCACATCCCTGAAGAGCTTTGATTCCCTTACTGGGTGCGGAGACATCATTGCTGAGCCTGACATCCTCAGCATTGCTGAGAGCACGATCTCTGTGGAGCGCAGCCGAGACACTGCTAAACGGAGCCCATGCCTTGTCACCTACCAGGGAGGTGGGGAGGAGATGGCCATGTCTGAGGAGGAGTACCTCCAGCAGATATGGGACAGCACCGCTGAAGAGGGCAGGAGCTATGAAGCCCCGCTCCCTCCTGCTGTGAGCAGTCCCGAACTGCAGGCAGTGAGTAGCAAGCTGGAGACATGTGGTTTGCGTGAGGGGGAGGTCCACCCCTATGCTAGTGGGGCAATGGATGGGGTCGAGCTCCTGACACCGCAGAGCGACCAGCAAGAGTCCGCACCTAATAGTGATGAGGGATATTACGACTCCACCACACCGGGACCAGAGGATGAGACTGGGGATGGACTTTGTGAGATCAAGAAGGACCGTCTTCCCAGAGACAGCTACAGTGGTGATGCACTTTATGAGTTTTACGAGCCTGATGACACACTAATGAGCCCCTCTCATGGGGAGCAATCCCTGTTTGAGAGCAAAGTCTCTCATCCAGAGATCTTCAGCTACTTCTTGGACTTCTGCCTCCCTTCTGAGAAGAACTTGATCCAGATGATGGATCAGAAGAGGGGGGTTATGGAAACTGAAGAAGAGCGGCTAGCTGCCATTCAGAAAGAGCTGCTGTTTTGGGAGCTGAAGAGGGAACCAGGCTTGAAACGACTTGATGCTCCCAGCAAAGAGAAGTGTCCCAGGGAAAAGCAGCATGTTGAATGTAAAACTAGAGCAGCCAACTTGATTGGCAAAAATCAGAGTTGCCTTGGTAGTGAGCAGATTGCTTCTCAAGCTCTAAACAGGAGTGTGAGTGGTGGGATTTTGGTGGCTAGAGCTGAAAATCCAGAGTGGAGTGATTTTCCAGGGCCTTTGTGTCCAGAGAACTGTTACAACAGCCAAAAAGCCCAAGGAAGTTGCCTTATTCAGCTCATGAAGAACAACCCAGGATTTAGCTCTGATCCAGACTGTGCACTGTTTGGGGGGTCTCTCCATGGCAATGCAGCTTCAGCCAAACCGGGGATGTTCCCCAGCCACAGACCCCTGGAGCATGAGGGCTGCTCGCAGAGCGACCACCATAGTGGGGTGGATGCTGCTGGCAGAGAGCCCCAGGCTGACCGTGAGTGCGAACCTGAGCACGCCATGAGCTTCTCACAAGCTCTGGTGGAGTTCACCAGCAGTGGCACCCTCTTCTCCAGCCTGTCGGAAAGCCTGGGCAGCTCTGACTCTGGCTCGTCCTTCACTCAGAACCTCCCCGTCCTTCCCACCATGGTCACATTTGACATTGTTGATGTGGAGCAGGAAGGGGAAGGGGAGTGCGAGCAGCACCTCGAGATGAATGCTGATGAAGACATGGCTGCATCCTTTGAGGCCTTCGATGAGAGCTATGTGCAGAAGGAGTCGTTTGCTGAATGTGACGAGAGAATGTTCCTGGGGTACCCCCAGGGCTCCTTCCAGAGCTGTAACTGGGGGGTAGCCAGCCTGCCCCGGCACCTGCGTCTGCATGAGCTCAGCCCTGCCATGCCAGCACCGCTCTCCCTTAACAGGAGGAGCAGGTCGCTTGACACGGAGAGCCTGGAGTTTGAACTTGCAGAATTGCAGATTTCCAAGAACGGCCTTAAGCCTTGCCAGCTGTGGTCAAAATGGGACAAAAAGTACTCCGATGGAGCAAGAAGGAGCAGGAGCAAAGAGGAGGCAGAACTGTCAGCTCCCGAAGGTGGGGAGGCCAATGGTGTGCTGAGCTGGCCGGGCTTGCAGCACCTCCAGTACAATGCCGAGCTGGCTCCTGGGGGGATCAAACACTGGGGTTTTGCTTCATCTGCTGGGATGCAGAGCAGCTGGGAGCCATCTGATCGGTCAGATGCAGACTCCCCCTTTTTGCCCCTTTCAAGGAGCAGTGCCAGAGAAACTCTGGAGAGGCAGCCCCAAGATCTGGAGCCAAACAGGCTCCTGGTCAGGCCATCCAACTTACCTCTGCAGCCTGACACGAGGCAGCCCCAGGACGCGTCTGGGTCATATAGGTATCACGGAGAAGCCCCGGCCAAAAAGCTCGCACGTGTGCTCCCACTGGGGGAACCGGAGCCACCGCAGTGCATCAGCTTTGCCCAGTCCCCAGAGAAACCAGCCAAGTGCAAACCTGTCGGCGTCACCCAAGGAATGCCCCACTTCCATGACAGCAACGACACCGAAACCTTAAAAAGCTCAGCCTGCTTCACAGAGCGCTATGGGAGTGCTGGCAAAGAGCTGCTGAAAGCGAGAGCTGCGCCGGGGAGCGCGCTGCCCAGCGGCTGCCTGAGCACTGCAGTGAATGTAATGGGAGCCAAATAGCTCCTGCTGGGTGGCTGGGAAGTGGGGAAAGGGGTGAGAAGGGAGGGCGGGGGGAGGGAGAAAGTGAACACTAACGAGTGACTTATGTCGAACCGGGCCAACAAAGATGAACTTCTCTTGCAGCTGCAGTACATAGTCTCCGTGCTGCTGCCGTTCTGCACTGCTGTGGGTACTCTGGTTTGGTGCAGAGCAACCTCCTAGATTCATAGATTAACACTGAGGCACTTTTGTTTTTTTTCCAGTGCGACCCACCACTCTCGAACACAGTACACGATGCAAAATGTGGTAGCAGCCTCAGTGCACAATCCCATTGCTGCTAGAATAAAATCTGGAAATGGACCCATTTCTAGTACGGCAGGTTTGTTCTCTGCAGATGAAGGGGCACCATCACCTTTAAAAAAAGAAGCTGAGCAATTGGCAGCTGTGAAGGAGTGAGGAGCATTGCTGCGCTGTGACCTCGCTCGCTGTGTCGGTTGGCTGTGAGCGGTCGCTTCTCCCACATTGGGGTTTCTCACCATAGGGCTGGGCTGCAGTGCGTGCTGTGGTGGACATTCCTGGAGTCTCCACTTCAGAGCTGCAGCCAGGAGAGCATGTCCTAGGGAAGCTTTCAAAAGAAGTTGGATTTCTTCCTCTTCTCTGTGAAACACTTTTTTTTTTTTTTTTGACAAATTTTTAACATCTTCCATCTTGATCTTGAGTTGGAGAGCTGCAGAGGAAGGATGCAGGTTATTTTGAGAGCAAGGACAGGGGGCCGTTCAGCCGCAAGGGCAACTTTGCTGTCACTTTTTTTTTCCTGCCTGAAAGGAAAGTAGGAATGTTTGTGTGCGTGCTGATAACGTTTTCCAGTTCTAGCTTTAACGTGCTCAAGAATACAGTGTGCAGAGAGATGTTCTATTGATGGATTCCCTTTCAAGAACAAAGTGTCAGTCCCTTTTCTCTGTCATGGTCTCTCTTCATGGTGTGTAATTCCCAGCTGACACCTTTCCTATGTCTTGTCCCCAGCCTCTCCCAGGCCAAGGGCACGTGTATGACTTCTCTTAAATAAGCTAAACTTGCATTGGGCCTGTAGCTGTAAAGTTGCTGTTGCTGTGTTGCTTTTTGTTTTATATTTTGTGTTTATTTTCTTTCCACAAACTCATACGAGGAAAGTATTCTATTAATTTGAATACAGAATGTAGCACAGCCTAAATTAGGCTTCATAACTTCTTCCTTCTAATGGGAGGGAACAAAAATGCCGAAGATTGCTACAGGCTTTTGATTTTCTTTTTTTTTTTTTTTAATTCCTCTTTTGAACAAATGTGGAGAAGGAACACAAGCATAGGAGACCAACGTTCTGTCAGAGCTCTTGGAAACACCTGCTGGAGGATAGCAAAGCAGAGCTGACATTTTCCTGAAGAGGTTCCCAGTGTCCATGTTGATCTGAAGCACGTTAGTCTCTAAACCAAACCTTCCCTCGAGCTGATCAGCTTCAGAGCAGAGGCGGGTGCCAAGGGACCTTTTGCAGAATCATAGCCTCTTGCCATCGGGCAGAAGGAAAGGACTTAAGAGATGGAGGAATGGAAACAGGTCCCTGCACAGGGTAGCTGGCAAACCTCCCTCCCCCCTACCCCAGCCTACCTTGCCTTCCCAGATGCTGTTGCACAATAGGTATGCGGCTCTGGAATTTAAGAGAAGCAGATGAGGATGTTGGTGAACATCCATCCAGGAGATTCTGTACGGTGAGTCAGTCACCCAGAAACTCCAAAACTGCCTTTGCCAGGAACAGAAGAAGGGTGATTGTCATAGGGGACTCTGTTCTGAGGCGAACTGAGGGCCCAATTTGCTGACCAGACTGTTTCCCACAAGAAAGTGTGCTGCCAACCTGGGGCCTGGGTCATGGACGCCACCAGGAAGCTCCCTGGTCTGGTACAGGTCTCCGGTTATTACCTGCTTCTGGTAGTGCAGGCTGGCGGTGCTGAAGTTGAGGGGAGAAGCCAAATAGCGCAGCTCAAGTGCACCCACATCACTGGTGATGAACTGTGGGGTGGGACGCCACAATCGGAGGGGCTGCGTGCTGCTGAGATCCTTCATTCTGCTCCACGAGGTGCTGGGTACGATGAAGCGCATCTGAAATGCTTTTCCACCAACACACCCTGCAAGGAACAAGCAAGAAGAGCTTAAAACCCTTGGCTCAGTCCCAGAGCTACTACATCATTGGTGTAAGCAAAACCTGGTGGGAAGGGTCCTGTGGCTGGTGTGCTGTGATGGGCGGTTACAGGCTCTTCAGAAAAGATAGGCAGGGCACCAAGAAGGCAGTGGGCATGGCTGAGAGCTGCAGGAGTTCAATAAGGGTCTGGGCAGTGCTCTTACACACAGGTCTGATTTTTGGGTGCTCCTCTGTGGAGCCGGGAGTCTGACTTGATGATCTGTAGGGGCCCCTTCCAACTTGGGATATTCTGAGTCGCTTTCTGTGGTTTAAAAAACTTCTTATTTCTGACTGAAATTCAGTTACTGATGAATTAGGTGTCCTTTTTCCCAAATTGCCAATTTTCTGCTTCTCTTTGCAGCGGAAGTTGTAACATTAAATAAATCACAAACTGAAAATAGGGCAGTGATGCCCTTCTCCAGAGCCTGACACGCCATGGGGGTGGCAGGGCTCTGCTCAGCATTGCTTTGGAGCTGAGTCCTTCCCCAAGAGCAGCTCACTGCCCGCTGCCCACAGCTGCAGCACAGATACACATGTGGCTGTGGTTGGAAACGCGGGCAGCTCCCTGGTACTGCTCTAGTTGTAAGGTACCAAGGCATGAAGAGCTTTTCTGTTTTGTTTTCCTAAGCAAAATGGGTCCTGTGATTTCTTCTTGAGATGAGGCTTCTTACTGTCCTGTCCTTGTATGTCCATGAAGGAGCTGGGAAAGGCAGAGCTGGAATTCCTTATGGGCAGCTCCACTTATGTGTATGTTGTTGTTTGTTTTCTGAACAGATTCCTGAGGCTTGAGCAGACCCATCTGTGTGTCCTTGGGATTAAACCTTCATTTTTCAGTGTTTGTGCCACGAGCATCCCCTAACAAATGCTCCTAACTCCCTCTTGCTCAGAGTGAGTTCAGCCGAGCTCTGCTGCAACTCAGTGCCAGTTCCAAAGAAAGGATCCTGTAGTTATCACTGGCAACACAGAGCTGTCACAACACAAATAGGTGCTCACTGGAATCGCTTGGCCTCCGCAGTGGCCTTGTACAGGAATTTTAACCATTATCTTGTTATAGCGTGTCACCAAAGGCATCTTGTGGCTCACAGGGCTTTTGCGCGGTGTTTTGTTGTAAATGGTGCAGCCTTTGCCAAAGTTCTGGTGAAGGATGAAAGTGTCTCAGTGCTAAAATGAATGTTCAGTTGCAAATGCATGTCTGTAGTAATAATTATTTTGGTTGTAGGTACGTAGTGGGGAGACTTATTGGACAACAGTTCGTAGACTCTGATGTGTGAAAGCAATACAGCCAAGACTTGATAATCTGACTTTATACCAAAGGTTTCTCCTCTTAATTTGATTTGAGCTAAATGAATCAAGTATCTGTTGATTTAAAATGAGGCTTCTAAAAGCATTTTTAAAATAATTTATTGAATTATTGGAGTATTCTGCCCCATTAACCCAAAGAAATAAGCATTTTCAATTTACTAACCTAGTCTGTAAGTTGTCACTGCCATAGATTGGATTTCAGTACCTAACGTTTTCCTTCTTCTATAATACATTTCTGCTATGGAATAAATAGGCCCTGATCTTCCCATTGTGCTTTACTAGTAGGGAGTTACAAAGGGACTACAGGTTGAATGCCAAATACAAGCTCCTGGGTCTTGATCTTGTCCCCCTGTGGCTTTGGGAGAGATTTCTCACAGCTGCATAGTCCGAATTAAGACATCGCTAGAGGGGGGAAATAGTCATTCTTGTGTGGTATTAACCCATTTTCAGAAGCAGTGCATCTTGGAATGAAAGGATAAGCTTTAAGGGGGTCCTGTGTCCTTTCTCTGACCTACCAGGCTGTTTGTTGATGATTGGGAATGCTTAGTGGCCAGCCTTTGTTGAAGCCAAACAGAAGAGGATTTGGTGTCATAGGGAGTGCTTAGAGCAAGTTATTGTCCCACTGAGTGGGATGCCATGGCTGCTCTGTGGTATGGGGCAGGGGCCTGGGAGGACACCCTTATGGGTTGTGAGCTCTTGGAGCTCTTTGACCAATGCTGACCTCTTAATGAGCGTGATTTTCCTAAAAATGTGATGGAGGAATTTCCCACCTGAGTCCTTGGACCACATGGGAGCTAGAAGCAGTCAGACCGCTCACTGAGGGCTGCAGCTTCTCATTTCTGGCTCAAGCCATCGTCTTCTAACCTGGTAAAATACAGACTTACCCAAGGAACCTGAGCTTGAGAGCAGTAATTCTTGCTCAAAAGAGGTCTGCGGAGACAGAAATGAGGCACACAGCCCGGGGTGAGCAGCTCAGTCTGGCTGAGGTGTGGAGGAACACCCCCTAAGCCTCACGGAGCTCAGTGCATCCAGGGAAAGCCTTGGAGAGGTGGGTCGTGGCTGTTTGCTGCCGACCAACCCCTGACCAGGTCAGCCTACCAAGTAGCTCTGTATTGCGTTTTGGGGACTTTGTTTGTTTGTTTTTTATATACGCATAAGAAAACGGTCAATTTTATCTATTTTTGTATAGTTTTGCATTTTATATTCATGGGGAAATTTTATGGACTGTTCTTTTACTTACGTACGTTATGTGTTTCAAAATGGTGCGGTTTACAGTTCTGATGGAGAAACAGCAATTTATTGCTGTCACTGCTGCTGCCACTGCCTGTGCAATGCAAGAGACCCACGTTGCTCCCCACACCCCCGTGCAGAGTGCTGTTTGGCGTCGTCTGAAGGAGCAGCTCTAGAAATGAGAAGCCAATCCACTGCCACTGCACGCTCTGTGTGGACACCGCCAGGATGTCTGTTTTGATACTGGTCTGTCACTCTTGTCAGCTGTTTCTTAGCTTTGTTTTGAATCTGAATTTGTGCACCGTGGTGATTTTTCCCTGAAAGTGTTGTTGGTTGTCCTTAAACAAACACCCAAACTGTGTGGATTTCAGTTTGGGATTTCTCTGTGTGCTTCAATTATGTTGTCCCAAACCGGGCTCTCCGCTGTTCTCTTCAGCCATTGCAGGGCAGGAGGTGCTGTTGACTGCTGTGGGGTGATGGAGAAATGAGTGGAACAACATTGCCTTGAATTTTGGGGTCACAACCAAAAGGAGAGCTCTGCGTATGCTCAGACCCAACACTAGTTAATGTGGATTTTTTTTTTTAATGGAATGAATATGCTGCTTTGTTTGCCTGACTCAGTGCCCCTGCAGAGTTTGCAGCCCTGTGTGGGGTACGAGGCTGACATAACTCTGCAGAAGGTCGTGATGATCAGCTGAGCAGAGAACAATGCCCAGTGCTCATGTGCAAAAAGAAAATGAAAAGCTGAAAACCCATTCGTCCCTTCTTCCCCCCTGAGCCAACACCAGCAGAGGTAGCAGTTCCAGGCTGAGATGTTTGGCTCTGCTCGGATTTGTGTGTCCTTTAATTCAGCAGCTCTTAACAAACAGGGGCACTGTCGGGGTTCTTTAGGATGGATCGGGGCGAGATGGCAGCTCTCCTGGCATCTGATCCCGGGGCCCACAGTGCAGGCAGCACATGGGAACCGAGGGAGCCCAAGGGAAGCGGAGCTGCCCCAGCTCTGTCCCTCTGTCCGCATTGCAGCCATGCAGGGAGCCCCGTCCAGCCCAGCTGCGTGCTGCCCTGTGCCAGGTGCCAGGCTCAGGACTGTTCTGTTTTGTTTTGGTCTCATTGCTACTCATCCTCTTGACTTTTTAATGTACTGACTGTGTTTTAAACTGAATGTTCCTTTCACTGAATTCTAACAAATAAACTTCAGATTTTTAGAGAACACCTGATTTCATTCCTGCTTTGTGTATCAGGCTTACTTGTGCTTGATTCCATCTTTCTCTTTTCCCACCTCTCCCATTACACTGTGAGCAGGTTGCAAAGATGTGCTTCAGAGAGCACAGTGAGCTGCTGTCTGCCACGTGCATGCCTTGTCCAAGCTGTGATACTGAGTGCACTCTGCAGCACGACCCTCCTTGAGGCTCTGCCCTGAGCCAAGCTTTCCCCTCTTTCTCTGCTGTTGCTGAGTGCACATGGGTATTTGTCCTTGCAAGAAGCATTTCCAGGTGGTAGAAACACATGGTGGGTGGCTCTGATCCCTCCTGTGGTCCCCTGGCTGTGGAGAAGCATCACATCCTTCTGCACTGCTCGTCTTCACACTGCCCTGCTTGAGAGCTTTTCCTTTCCAGGCCTCAAACCTTCAGCATTTTCATTTAGAGCCAACCAAGCTGTGTTGGCTTAAGCTGTCACTGATGTGACAATGCAGTGCTGTTGGTGGTGAACTCTGCGGTCCCACAGCTGCTCTGTGTGCCTGTCCAGCAGTGCCACCAGCCCACTGAGTGCCCTGGGGCCCAAGCTGCCCCAGGTGGCTGTATTCACACTGCTGCCTCTAATGGGAGGCAGCTGGGACTGACTGGTGCAATCGAGTCCTTCAAATCTGCTCCTTTTAACATTTAATTATTATTTATAGGGCTGTGTTCTGATCCTATGGGAGGGAGAGGCTACAGCCCCCTGCCTGTCCCAGAGGAGCCATGGCTATAATGGGGTTGACCCTTATGGCATCTAATTGAATTTAGGGAGGGAAGAACTCCCTGAGCAGCGTGAAGGGAGGACGGAGCAGGGCAGGCACCAGTGTCACTGATGGATGAGTCCCAGTGCTTCGCTGCATCTTAACCATGGGCAGGGAGAAAACAAACAGTGACAGCAAACTACATGGGATACACGAGCACGACCTCGGCCTGTGGAGACGGAGCCTGGAGTGTCCCCTCCCAGCAGGGAGCTCTCAGGTCAGTGCTGATCACCTGCTGCTAAACACAGCTCCCTCGCTACAGCTGAGTGTGGGTGCTGAGCAAACCTGTTCAGAGCTGCCTGTCCTCATGTGGATGTGTTCCACGCTTAAGGTGTTGCTTTTGGTCTCATTTCTCTTCCTCAAAGTGGTTTCCCAAGGGCTCAACGCTGGTTTGGGAACACCACTGCGTGCTCCTGTCCCACTACTGCTGGGAGCCCAGGGGAAGGGCTACTTCTTAAGGAGGCTGAGGCTGCCAATTAGCACCAGCCCGTTGATTAAGGCAGTTCTAGAATCGTTAAGGCTGGAAAAGACATCTGAGATCACCTAGTCTAGCTGTTCACATACCACCCATACTGCCCACTAACCCCTGTCACCCAGTGCCACATCCACACGTTTCTTGAGCACCTCCAGGGACAGGGACTCCCCCACCTCCCTGGGCAGCCCGTGCCAGCACCTCACTGCTCTTTTGGAGAATAAATTATCCTTCACATCCAACCTCGGGGCTTCGTGGCCGTGAATTAAATCTGGCAAAGCAGGGCACCCAAAAAGCCACGGAGATTTATTTTTTAATCTCTCTATTTTTAGCACGAGGCTGAGCTCGGTTTGTGCTGGAAAATAAATCCCACCGGCCTGCAGCGTCTCTTGGAGCCTCCATCCCTCCTGGTGGCTCCTGCTTCGGCATAGCAGCACGGCTGGGAGGGGGACCGGCTCCCCAGACCCCCCAGCTGGGGCCGGAGGGACATCCCCGCCCCTCCCCGTTCATCTGTTTGCAGGAATCGCTCTCTCCCGCGCGGATTTTTGGAGCAGTGTAGGTGCTGGGCTGACCTCTAAGGGAGAGCTCCGTAATTGCACTGCTGAGCTCAGCGGTGCTCCCAGCGCTTCCCGGAGAGCGTCGCTCCGGACCGCGACCCGAAGCGCGCTGTGCGCTCGACCTACAGACGGAGCCCCAGAGCTGCCCCTGCGTAGGCACAGCCGGGGGTGGAAGGAACCGAAACATCACGGTTTGAGTGCATAAGGCGCTCAGATCTCTGTAGTTGGAGCGAAGGTTCGTTTTATGGAGAATAACCTCCCGTGCCATCCCACGGTGCCCACGCTGCGTTGTGCTCCGGCACCAGAAGGCACCGGGGACCCGTTCAGCCCAGTGCCACCCCCCGGGACCCGCTCTGCCCCGGGGCACTGAGGGCTTTGGGTCCACTCTCCTCTGCAAAACGTGCCCCATTTCCCAAAGCCAGCCACGCAGCAGCACCACACGCACCATATTATTACTTCAGATACCCATCCCATGTAACTTTTGGCTTCATTTTTGTTTTACAGAGGCTTAAAGCAGAAGGCATCCTATTTTGTGCTCCCAGCAGAACTGCTCACACCACTTATCCAAAGCTCAGGGTCCAGGGCTCCAGGACGACATCCCCTCAGCTCCAACCCAAGGATTGGGCACACCCTGGCCATGTCATTCCCTGCAATCTGCTCTCTGGGGTATGTATGGAGAGGACTTCCCAGAGACCATCAGAATAAGCCTTCAGGATCATGCTAGGAAGCTCCTAAAGGGGGAAAAACAAGTGGCTTTCCCCAGTATTCCCCTCAGGAGCCCCATTGGGTCCCTGCAGGGTGGGCTCAGGAATGAACAGCGTGGGGTCCAGTCACCCTGAGGTGCAGGTGACAACGTACTGCAACTGACACAGGAGCAGAAGGAGGACAGAGGTTGCAGCCTGCCAGGGATAATAATAAAAATAATAGTAAAAATATTGCAAGAGGGATAGTATGGGATGGAATGGGATGGGATGCTCCATTCTTTCCAGTGTCACCCAGTCCCCTGGATGCAAACCAGAGAGATGGGAGAGATCAAAAATCCCCCTCAGCATGTGTCCCAAGGAGCCCCCACACCTCCATGGCTCTTCCCTGGCAGAGTAGCACCAAATCACTCAAACGCTTGCAGAGATGTGGCAATGGGACAGCAAAAGCCAAGGAACCACAACACAGCATTGGGACTGCACATAAGAAGTAATAGGTATGGGATTGTGAGGTGTGATTTCCTGGGTAGAAGATGAAAGAAGGGTGATTAGATGCCCACATGTTGCCATTCATTAAATAAGGAACAGTTTTTTGTCGAAAGAGACCTGGTGAATTTGGGTCTGGGTTCCTCAAGAAACTGTATTGCAACCACTCTGCAGGAAGAAGGATGAGTGAGTGAGGAAGACCCACTTTGTCCTCCTCTGAGCTCTGCTTTGGCTTTTGAGCAGCAGCAGCGTTTCTCTGCCATCTTCTGAGGCCGGAGCAGCCACCAGCATGAAGGGTGCCTTGGTTTAATGGGACCTGGGGCTGGCAGACCCGGCTGTGCCATGGGGAGCATCTCCAGCATTATGGAATGCCAAAGGCAAAGAGGCATCAGATATGATTAAAAAGTGATTAAGGCTGGTTTTGAAAAACAGGACTTGGGGAAACAAATCTTAGGAGAGATAAATGGGGATTTCCTTGCTTGATCGGTGTGGTGTGTGAGAAGGGAAGTAACAGAGACTGAATCTGACGGAGCTTGAACCTCACAGATGTTGTTTGTGAATTTTGCAGTTTTTTGGGGGGCGTGTTTTATTATTGCAATGAATGGAGCCTGCAGCAAACAGGCTGGAGCCTGAGCACCCCTGGTCCCAGCAGGTCAGTTCTGCAGCCTGGGGCTGAGCTTCTCTGCCATCAGTACCTGTGTGGGACAGGGCAAGCTTGGATCTCTGCAGTCCTTTCTTTCTCCAAACTTTTTTTTCTCCTCACGCTTGGGTTCACTCGCTGCTCCATGGGCACCGTGCATGGATTTGGCCTCTGAGGGCAAAGCAGAGTTTGTGCTTCCCTGCCGTCATCCCCATAGGGGACCACAGTGAGGGCTGGGATTCATTACAGAACCACAGAATCATTAAGGTTGGAAAAGACCTCTAAGATCACAAAGTCCAACCATCAACCCATCCCCATGTACCTACTAACCACATCCCTCAGTGCCACATTGGCCCTTTTCTTGGACACCTCCAGAGATGGTGATTCCCCCACCTCCCTGGGCAGCCTGTGCCACTGCCTCACCACTTTCAGAAGAATTTTTTCCTATTATCCATCTTGAACTTCCCCTGGTGCGACTTAAGGCCATCACATCCTGCCCTATTGCTGTTACCTGTAGCCACATCCCACCCCACTTCCTCCTGCCTTCCAGCAGGACAGCATTGAAGCCAGGCTGTCACAGCCCCAAGGCACTGATGGCCCTTAATGGCCCTGAGCAGCCCCACCTGTGTCCCACACCCACCCTGTGGGCCCAGGAGCCCATTTAATCCCAGCTGGGGTACTGGTTCCTCCCCAGGCACAGCACACACCTGGCCACCTTGAGTGCACTGCCAGCCTCACAGTTGTTCCCAGCCTTTGGGCCACCCAATGCAAGGAATGGATGGGTGCTGTGGGGCCAGGCAGAGCCTTGTGTCTGGGGAGGGGTGTTCAATACAGGATGCCCTGTATAGAAATAAAACCATCCTTTATAGAACCGCACAAGGCCGGTGGCTTTTGTTCTTGCTCCAAGAACTGTCTGATGAAGGCAGCTATCCCCAGGCTCAGGAAGTGTGCAGGAATGTTTCCAGGCACAGAAAGCAGCCGAAGCCCCAAAGGTGAGCAAAGTAGAGCAACCCCTCCTGCTGCAGGTCTGTGTGCTACATGCTGAGGGGTGCAGTGATGCTCTGCTTGGTCCCATTTCTTCTTGGGTAAATTGTTGGTTTCAATAAAGTGCTTCATGGTGTGAAGCTTGAAAAAAAACGTGAAATCTGGAGTTGCACCAAGCCCAGGAGGGAGGCCTGCCGCTGACTATTGTTCCTTTAAGGAAGAACAACAAGAAACCAGACGAAAAAGAGCTCCCAGCCACCATCCCCAGTCTGGGGGCACTGGAGCCAGTGGGAGCCCCGTGCCCAGGAGGGAGGAGGCTGCAGCCCCCAGGGGGAGGGGACCCGTGACTTGCATCAGCACCAGCTTCACTCGGG